AATTCGACAAAAAGTCTCTTGTAATGCAAATATATCTGCATCCTTATAAAATATTTATTGATTTCCTCAGATCACGTCCCAGAACTAAAGTGAATCATTAAATATTTAAACTTGAACATGCATTAACCCTTTTAATGCTCTCATCTTGGTTCCTTCTTGCCCCACTCAATATCTCTTTTTCCCTACAAACTCCCACCTGAAGATTGATCATCCGGGGAATTTTTTATTTGCTGGAAACTATAAAGATGATTTTAAGTATTGTTTTATTTTTATGTATTAACCTTTTTTGTGCTAAAAATATATATTTAATCCTCGCACATTACTAAAGTTAATAACAAACTATCAATTCAAAGGACTTCGATTTTAAGTTATTGTATTTATAGAAAATCTAATTGGGAGCCGTCTACTATGTATTCGTAAAGAAGAGATTAATTATTTGCAATGGATAGAATGCGCGTGATTATATTTTTTATATATATATATAAGCTCTTTGGTTTTGAATTTTATTTTCTGGGCTGAGTATATTTTTTGGTTTCACAGTAGCCGTCAAGGGGGATGATCGTTGCTGCAGTGGTGGTTGATTTTGGTCGTCGCGGCAAGTATTTCACAATGGAAAAAAAAGATAAACATGTTTTTTAAAGAGCATACATCTATATGAAATAAAAATCGCTCAAGTATACATTTTGTCATTTTATTTGATATCTAAAGTTTAAAAAAATATATTTTTAGTTATTTAATTTTAAAATTATTAGTTTTAATTGATAATTTTTATAATAGTCACTGTTGTTTTAAAAATTAAACTTAATATATTAACATTTAAATTTTTTTGTCAATATTTAAGATTTCAATAAAATTATTTTTTGTTAGCTACTTTAGAATAAAAGAATTACAAATAAACTTTTCAAAATTTAAAGAATAAATTAAATTTGTGTACAGTTAAAAACCTAAAAATATATTTTAGTTAATAAAAATTATATTCAAAGTTGTATATACATTTTGAATATGTTTTATAAATTCACTTCAATTTTCCTTTTTTTTAATGTCTGCTTTATTAAATAACTCTTTCAACGTACGTATCAATCAACGTCCTTTTTTTGGGGTCATCCATATCAATCAACGTCTTACCAGCTACTGTAACATCACATGATATCAGTATCTAAATTCAAAACCCATCTCCCATGCATGATGCGTAAAATGGCATCTGTAGGGAACGAATTGTGAATTAGATTTGCTGTGTTTAGATTGGTTTTTTAAAATGATTTTAAAAAATTCAATATAAATATATAAAAAATTTTTATCTCAACTTCATGACATCACTTTTTTTAAAATGTTTGTGAGGGTTAACAAAAACCTTTAGCCGCATTTGTGGAAAAAATAATTCTCAGAGCCTAATATTTTGATAATTCTTTCCATTGTTTACAAGTTCAAAAAGCTGTTTTATCTCACGGCAATTTCCTTTTTCTCTATGAACAACTTCGTACGAAATAAAGCATGTCGAAATGATCTCCTCTGGCTACCTTTTTCTTTTCTTTGTTTTTTCCCCTGGCTCATGATACTTCTCATATCTTTCTTTTTTTTCAAACAATCTCAAAAAAAACCCTTTGAATATAAAAAATTTCGATTAGGTCTTGAAATTTTGTAAATGACAAAATGGGTCAATGACCCAATCTGTCATTTGTAAAATCAAGAGGAATTGATAATTTTGTTCTCATTTGTATTCATTCACTACAATGATTTAAGAAATCACTATAAGGGTTTAGACGTTACCTAAATTCGTGTAGAGAATAACTATTCACTTTTTTCGTAGTCAGGTGCCTTGTTATTAACTACAACTAATCATGTAATCAATAGAACTGTGTAAGCGTTACCTAGATTCGTATAGAGAATAACTACTTACTTTTTCGTAGTCAGGTACCTTGTTATTAACTACAACTAATCATGTAATCATTAAAACAGTGTAAGCGTTACCTAAATTTGTTTAGAGAATAACTACTCACTTTTACTTAGTCAGGACAAAATTATCAATTCCTCTTAATTTTACAAAAGACAGATTAGGTCATTGACCCATTCTGTTGTTTACAAAATTTCAGGACCCAATCTGGAATTTCTTATATTTCAAGGGCTTTTTCTGGAATTTTTTTTCTTTTTAAATAAAAGACTGAATATCATAAATTCACCAAAAAAATTATCTTCCCTCGTCAACCGCCTCCTGTTGCCTAATAGGTAGAAGTTGATCTAGGATACATACTTCTCATATCGTTGCATAGCACTAGCAGCTAACAAGAATAAACAGTAAAAAAAAAAAAACACTCGTATTTTTTTAAGGACATAAATAAAACAAAGATTTCATCGGACAAGAAACCTTTTTAGGCATTCTCCACTTTTGCACCGATTTGCTACTTCAGGTGCATGTGAATTGGTTTAGAAGGCCTTCGGGGAAAAAACGGATTAAAAGACCTCCCTCTCTCTCAGTAAATACGAATCTACATTCTTGTTTGTGCCTATATCCATCAATATCTATCTATAATGAACATAACTTTTCACTTAGCTCACACCAACTCGTATTTTTTCACAAAGGAAGAGGAGATGTACTATAGAAAGATAAATGCATTTTTTTTTTGGTCTGATAACGAGACACGTTAGTATGAAACTAGATTCTGAGTCAATGCTCACCTTGACATGAGTTACACTCTTTATTGCTCATATAGTATTGTTCTTATAATAACACATTTTTTTTTGCCAACTTATAACAACACATTTATAAAATTTATATTAGCAGTATTATAAAAGTGCAATCGAGACTAGCTGGTTTAGCAATAAAGATGAGAAATGGCGTGGGTAAAAATTAGTGTTCAAACTATCCTTACATGACAAAGAAAAAAATATTATTATATACTACTTCCAGTCCTAATTATAAGAGCCAGTTGACTAATTTGAGGAGATTAAGAAAGTAAGTTGAGTTAGTTATTTGTCCTAAATAGGTATTGTTTTTTCTAAAATATCCTTACTAATTAAGTGTATTGACTAGAACTATCATTATTAGAAGGGCTACTTTGAAAAAAATGTATAAATATGAGAGACAAAGTGGATTGAGATTTTATATTTATGACCAAAATAAAAATCAAACGGAATCTTATATTAAGGACCGGAGGTAGTATATAATATCAATATATATAAACATTATAAATTTACTTTCTCCGATACAATTAATCTAAACTAGAACGTGAACTCATATTTTTTTACGAAGTTTAATTAGAGCGATCCGAGTCATAATATTTACAATCTATTATAACTTAGTGGGGGCGATGCACCTTTTATAGTGAGCTCACATTCTTACTATCCAAATTAGTCGATTGCCAAAGATGTTGGATATCAGAAATTACCCCTAAAAAAAAAAAGTTAAACGTAAAGAAAGCTAGTCTAGACATTTAGCTTGTGACGTGGGAAAAATTGACAATTACTCCTCTTCAGTTCTTAACATATAACTTAATTAAGGAGCTAATATTGATTTTATGTGTAAGACCTATTTCACATATTTATTAATTTTTTTCTGAAATAAACTTATTAATATTTCTCCAATAATAATCAAGCAGGAGAGAGACAAAATGAATTAAGAAAGATGGTTAGGATATTTTAAAAATAACGTATTATATTAACTAATTTAATTAATATTTTTAATCTATTCAAATTAGTTAATTATGTCCTTGAAGACTAGAGGAGTACTATTTTCAGTCTTTTTTATAAGATTTTACTAATTATTTTTTAAAATTAAAAAAATAGTTAAGGCTAGTTGTTTATTAAAAATTTTAGAGTAAAATACTTTAAGTCCAAATTGTTTGAAACATACACTTAGATCCAAATCATTAACTCCGTTAAGAATATTATAAAAAGATATTTTTTAATTAAAATACTTTCTATATACTAATTTACTCTTCATGATACTAAATTCTTAAATTTTGGCTAAAAGTTTTGAAAAATTAAAAGATTTTTTTCTTTTCCTTAATTTTATTTTTTTATTTTATTAAAAATATTTATTTGTTTAATGTTTTTATCATACTGGGATAGAAAATTAAGTAATTTAGTTAATGTAGACATAAAAACTTTGAATGGAAATTTAATTAATTCTTTGAGTAAATATATAATTGAATAAATAAGTTATACATGTTTCTAACAAAATTTTTGTTTTAAAAAATTAAATTATAAATTTAAATTATTTTTATAATATCTCAAACTTAGATAACTTATATTATATGGTAAAAATATGTATTCATTTTATTTTTTAGCTATTTAAAGAGACCTAAATAAATAAGTTTCATTATATGTGACGAAGAATTAAAATTATAAGATTTTATAATATAATCAAAATTAACAAATTTTATTACATTTCAAAAATTTTGAAAATACATGTATTAAAAATATTTTTTTTAGCATCAAAAATTTTTTTTGCATATACAAATATTTAAATAACTTTTATATTAAGGAGGAGTATTTTGGTTACAACAAAATTTTAAAAGTCAAACTTAATATTCAATTAACGATTAGATAGATGAAAATAAAACCTTAAATATATAAAGAAATTTTGTGTAACATATGTTTTAATTTTAAAAAGGATTTGTATATATTTAAAATAGATGAGAGGTTTTTATAATTTAAATAAAATAAAAAGGTATTTGGTATATTTCACTCAAAATTATAAAAAAACATTATTATAGAGAGATGAGAATATCTTAAATTTTATAAAAAGAATTTATATTAAAAAAACAAATATAAATTGTATGATGTTACTATTATAAACCGGAGTGGAGGAATATTTTTTAACACTTATTCGCAAAGTTTATGTCATTGCCTCTTGAATGATTTGCACAGCACTTAGCGAAGTCGTCTTTTGCGCGGAAAAGCGTGAGACTGGTAGCATTACTGTCTTCTCTTTCCACCGCTTTGCTCTTTGGCTTATCGCACAATTCTCCATGAACTTGAATTTCTTGTCTCGGACATAGAAAATGGAGAATCCGTTTGACTTCGACTTTACCACCGGTTATCCTGAGCAGTCACCAATGGTTCCATCATGGCAACCGACCGGTTTCCAAGAGGAATTCACGTCACAGTCTCACTACGTGGCTCCTGTAAGCTGGGCATCCTCAATTGGACCGGAGCAATTAGCACAGTCCATTTCTTCTTCATCGGCGGTAGATGCTCCGTCGTCACTGATGGTGAAGGTTCAGAGAGTGGAAGCCCGATTGGACGAGGACGAGCAGGATTCTAAAAAACTTCGCGCTAAAATCTTTTGCCATCCTTTGTATCCTAAACTTCTGGATGCTTACATCGATTGCCAAAAGGTACAAGTCACGTGAATAAGAACAGTTTTCTTTTTTCCAGCCGATTTTCGCTCTTTTTCCCGCTCTTTTCAAACCTTGCCCGTTTCCCTTGAAAACGCGAAATATGTCGAAGTTAAGAAGTGTTTGTGATGTTTCTGGTTTGAAAAGCAAAGAGAAGAATGTCATTTGTATCCTGTTGTTTTCCCGTTTGTCATTGTAAGTTTGTAACCGAAGCACATTTTGTGAAGCTGAAGCGTTGTTTCCGGAATCGGTTGCTTCATTCCGTTTTGTTGTGGTTTTCGGCTATGAGTTTTATTTTGTTTTACGCTGAAACTCCTTAATTCTTGCATTTTTAAAATTTCCACACCTAATTTTCCCGCGCCTTCTGGTATTGTCATCTGCGCGTAATCTGAAAGCTGTGTTTTGATAAGGTCATCGCGTTGTTTGTTTGGGTTGACAGAGCTGAGATGAAAAGTTCTTTTCGTATTTAGTTTTGTTTTGATTGATTTCAGGTCCATTTCAAGTTAATTTTTCTTTCTACGTTTGCTCTCTTAAATCTTAATTCCAGGTTGGAGCACCGCCGGAGATGGCAAAACTGTTCGACGAAATCGGACTAGAGAATGGCGATCTATGTCAGAGATCTACTTACTTGGGTGCCGACCCCGAGCTGGATGAATTCATGGTCTCTTTCTCGGAATACTCACGCTTATTTAGAATTCAAGAGTTTCAAACCCTAATAGTAGTCTTTCAGTTTTTATTTTTTTTTCTTTCACTCGTCTTTCTTTCAAATGGTGATTTTCTTTGGTTAATTTGAAGGAAACGTATTGCGATTTATTGGTGAAGCACAAATCGGATCTCTCGAAGCCTTTTGATGAAGCAACCGCGTTTCTTAACGACATGGAAATGCAGCTTAACTCTCTCTGCAACGGCCCTCCCCGGAACTGCAATTCTGGTTTTTCTCTCTGCTCCATAGCCTCTTCTCTTGCTTGCTAGTTAGTGTTTGGTGATTTTCATTTATACATCCGATGCCCCTGGAAAACTACTCCTGTTTTATCTGATTTCTGAGATCGAAATGATAGCTTAATTAGAAATTGTTAGTTTAGGTTTAGATTTCAGAGTTCTCGGTTCAGAAGCATTCATAAAGTTATGCGGAAAGCTTTCATAAAATAATAAAATAATGCGAAATTAAAGTCCGCATGTTTGCTGGTCTTACTTCCTTGACGTTTTGATCAGTCTTTCTGCACTATCTTGAGGACAGTGGATTCTGTACTTTGCTGAGCGAGGAGTAGTCTTCATCAGATGTGTGCATGGCATACATACATTTGTTATGTGTGCATGTATGTATATAGACGGTCCATGAAATCTCCGGAAAGGCTACAAATTTCTGAATACGGCAGAAACCATATAGAAGCTCTAGTCCAATGAGAAGAAACCTGTACTGTGTCATATTTTTTTGCCTCACAATCTGTGCGTCATTTTGTAAGTCGTAGCTTTATTCATTGTTCAGTGATTCTTCTTTTGACGCTATGGTTACCACAGATGGTGAATGATGCACTATAAATAGCAGCCATCACATGAAAAACTAGGCATTCATCAACTTTTTTTTTAAAAAAAATTTTTAAAATATCCTTTGACTAATTAAATCTGAATTACTATTATATTGAAAGTATATTGACCTTTGAGTTCGGTAGGGGTATTGTTTTAGGGAACTGACATCATGTGAGAGAAGACATTAATTCCAGGTGGTAGAAGACATTTTACATATATAGAGTCATTTTTAATTCTATTGATCGATCCACTCCCAACGAAGGTCAATAATTTTCATATATTTAGTTATGGATTATTGATTATTACTGTCGTTTATCAGACTTGGTAACGAAGCCTTCTAGACATAATAATATGAATGTGGATTTTATAAAGTGGATGAGGGGGGTCGTTTAGATTAGTTTTTTAACCTTTACATGTCTGGAATAAAGTCATTGACGTGGAGAGTTGTTCACTTTTATTTTAAAAACATTCAGATGCAGATAACAGTTAGCCTTCAACGTTTTTTAAAAAATAAAAATAAAAATAAACGTTGAATTGATGAGGCCAGAAGCTCGATCTTTGATCTTGTTTGTCAACATATACTTCCTCCGGTCCTAATATAAGACTCTATTTGATTTTTATTTTGGTCCTAAATATAAGACTCCAATCTATTTTGTCTCTCATATTTATATATATTTTTTCAAAATAGTCCTTCTAATAATGATAGTTCTAGTCAATACATTTGAGTAGCAATGATATTTTAGGAAAGATAACATCTATTTATGACAAATAACTAATTCAATTTACTTCTTTAATCTCCTCAAATTAATTAACTAACTCTTATAATTAGGACAGAAGGTAGTAGTAAGATTATGGATAAGTACTAATCCTTTGATGTCAATAAAATATACATCTGTGACAGAGTGAAGTACACTGACTGCTGTTCCAAGTAGTGTGGCTGCACGTGTTGGGTGTACTGATCTCACATCTTCCATTGAAATCTAGTTTATAGTTGTTTAATCAAACTACTTCGACTTTTGAGGCTATCTGCTATCCAGATAATTCATAAATAACCGATGTGTAATGCTCATGCTTTTGTTTCTGTCGGGTTTTGCAGCATAATTTAAGCAATACCTTATTACCTTTACTTGATCAAAGGAACAAGTACAAGGCTGCATTTATAATATAATTGTTCATAGACTATTTTGGCTTTCGGTTCCAGATAAGGCTGCTTCATTGAGGGAATTTTGGTTATGTATTTGATGGAAAATAGCATATTTGAACGTGGAAAAGAGAGTTCTTTCAGGATTGTCCATTTCGGAGATGCACTTAAACCGGACCTTGTAGGCTTTTACAAACGACTTTATGCGCTTTTTCCAGTTGATTGCATGCTTGTGTTTTTTTGGCTTCTGAACAAAGGGGGAAAACTGATATCACAAGTTGGTTACAACTATACTTTAGAATATAAAATTAAAGGTCTGACTATTAGGAAGAAACCTTTTTTTCCCAAGAGCCAGATGCCTCTCTTCAGATTTTCTGTTAAATCATTGCTGTCAGAAATTAATCTTAAATTTTATTGCAATGAATTAGATATTATAATCGATTTAAGAATCATAAGTCTGAAGATAATTATATATTTGAATATACTGAGGGCAAACAATCTCTGGCCTTTTCCTCCTGTGTAATTTTGTTGGTGATTGCTTGATATAGTTAATTCCTGCTTTGAATCTTTGGTGCTGAATTGTTGGATTGTCATGGATAAGGAACTGAGGGAAAACAATGACCCTATATTTATGTCATGGAACAAAAAATCTGAGGCGCAAATATGACTTGTTTGTTATGTCAATTGACAGTTTGGCGAAGGCACGAACATATAGTTAATCTGATGAAGTGATGGTGTTTAAATAGAATTTAATAACAAGCCTGCCTTGTGAAATTGTGATTCCGTGTAGTTGGTCGCGTAACATTCCTTTTGAAGTTGCGATGAGTGATAACATAGTTCTGGATGTGTAATTATACGTCAAGATTCGTGCGGAACAGTTGTACCACTTTCCGTGGTTAGATTTCATGCCATTGCTCGTGCTCTCTAGTTTCGAATAAAAATAGCGGACAATCAGTTCTTTCTGTCTTTTATTGGATTGCAAAGTATTCTCATTTAATTACTATAGGTTGTAATACTGAAGATACATGCACGTGAGAATTATGAGTATGTCTTTATTTTTTTAGGCTAGATTATATTAACTTCCTAAGCTTTATATGTCATGTATGAGTAGCCCTCCTAATATTTAAAACTTTATAATTTTCATTACTTATTCACATACATTTTGAATATGAGGGTCTACATAGAGTTTAAGATGCAGGGTGTTTGGATGGAAACCAAATCATGGTTTCAAAAGTGCTTTTACAGTTTACGAAATAAATATGTGAAAAAGTTTGTCTCGTTTTGCAGAAAAAGTGTTTTTTAAAAGTGATTTTGAGGGTTGCCAAACACCTCGTAAGGGTTTATATGTATATAAAAATGAAGTTTAGGAGAGTATATAATTAATTGTTGGGAGGTTATCTGTGCAGCCTTGAAAACTTAATGATGTTGAGGTTTAAGTTTATTTGGGGTTATTTGTACATGATTTAAAGTTAGTCTTGTGGAATTTAACATCTTTTAATTTTTTTTCCTATCTCCCCGTTTGAGCTGTGGTTTGCCCCGCTTCAACCCTATGAATAGAGATATGTACCTGCGTATTTTATTTCAGTTCCTTCGAAATCTCCATGTGGTTAATAATATAATTGCCAGTTGGGTTGTTCTTCTCATGCAACTATAGTCATTTATGTGCGTTACGATGGACTAGTGATTTTAAAATTTCTTCAGATTGATTTCGTATTTAGCTGTTCCTTTCTTCTTGGCCTGGACATTTTGCTGTTTGAAAGTCAGGCTGATCGTATGAATATGCATCACGAGCTCGTCTGTTTATTTGGCACTGGATATTGGATGTTCTTTCATCTAGGATCATCCCGTATTTTTTGCGCGCATACAATCATATCATCAAAATATCAACAGCTATAAAATATGAAATTTTGAACAATTCCCATAATGAACAATAAATAAAACTTTATCATATAGGACTGACTATGTTAATATATAGGGGTAACATAACACTATATATTAACATATTTAGTAGCTGAGGGGAGGGCATTGCCACATTGTGCAGCGGGCGTGGGTTTCCTATCCCTATTACGTCGAAAAGTGGAGGCCTATTAGATCCATTCTGGGAATCGTCTGACAGAATGGACTCCCGCACTTGACGTTACAATGCAGCTTCTTGTGGAGTTAGGTTTCAGACCGTCAGATCCCTGCTCAACCCTTTTTCTCTGGCATCTGACATCCTGAGCTGTCCATCATATTTTTCCTAGAAAAAGAACGTACCCATGTAGCACATATATTTAAAAGTCGTGGGGTCACCCATAAATTTGGCAAAGCAGTCTGTTTCTGTTTCTTTTTGGATCGATCGATGCAGTTTACTTCTGAAATATAGCTTCTTTTTTTCCTTTTTGACCGGTCCTTTTTTTTAAAAAAAAAAAAGCTTTGAAACATATTTATGTGAAACCAAAAGACAGCCAAGATTTAGGTCTCGTTTAAAATCATCATCATAAACACTTTTTACATAAATTGAGTTTCTTCAATCATTATTAAAAAACTGCTTATACTTTTATTTGTAAATAGGGACCTTTATTCGTAAATAGGAATCCGGTTGGAGTTGTTTTTATCAGCAATAATATTTAATTTTAAGGCGCCACAGAACAGTTTTTCTGTGGCTTATCGAAATCTTGAATATTTGAGTCTGCGATCGAGATGAATATATATATATCTATATTTGTTAGCATGAAACTTCTGTGCACAACAATTATACGAATAACATGCATAAAATGTTTTGTAATTATTACGATATCGGGGCACACGACTCTACGTACACATGATTGAAATTTCTGGGGATGAATTATTCGTCCAAGGTATTGGGCAAAGATACTATTTTGGAGTATGCTTTCATAGGGATAGCCCTAGCAGGCTTACACCCAGGGGGCCCCGTCGAGGGGTCATCTGAATCTGATGCATTTATTTGATATCGTCGGAAATCGGAATGACGAAGCTCTTAGAAATCGTACAGAAACTGATTTGAGTTGACAGGGGCGTGTTGCGGGTTGGAGACTCAACCCGACAAATGACAATACCCAGAAGACGGAACGCTCAATAATGCCGGGTTTTGACCGTCGTGGCCTACCTTCCCGGACAAATCTCCTGAGTCCTGACTGTGATTCGACACGACAGACTTTTGTTCGCTCTTTCTCCGCACTTTCTCCCTCCTCCTCCTCCTCGCTCATTATATCTGATCACGTCGTCCTGTAGTGCAGTGTTCCGTCACATCCTTGTAATTGTGGCCCAAAATATCTGCCCTGCTTGCCCTATGGGGGGTTGCTACTCCTTCCTGGCTCGCATGTGCCTGACTGGTTTTTTACTTTTTACTGTTCTTGCTCCCTTCCGTTCTTCGATCTTTGCTATGTTATATGGTTGCAATGTTGCATGGACCTTGTTATTTTCTTCCCCGTTTCGGCAGTTTTTGCAAGACTTTATGATGACTATTTTAGGGTAAACTAGGTCGACTGTTATATATCCAGATGCGCGCGCGTTTTGCATGAGTAGTTAGGATTAATTTTCATTACAAATAATTCTTTATACATTTTATATGCAATATATTTCACATTTAAAAATATGTGAGTAGATTCATTTGCTAGTGGTTAAATTAGTAGTAAAAATTTGTATCGCATAATTTATTGATTTATTATTCTCTGATTACAATTTGACATGCAATGAGTATATTTTAACCAAACTAGTTTGCCAAGTTTTACAGTTCGTTTTGGTTCAACTTTTCCCCCCTATTGCACAAGAAACTAACACACATACATAATTAATGTTTATTATATCATTATGTAATAGTAGTTACTTTTTAACATTTGTTTATTTTTATAATTTTAGTCGAGGATATTATATTACAGATACTTTTCATCTATGAATTTTAGAGAATAAAAAGTACAGAAGCATAATGAAGCAAGTGCTTGCATTGTACCTTTCATTAACAGATATGTACACACATATATATTAGAAGATAAACTGCCATTTATACATATACGTTTTATGAGTCAAATATATGGTTACGACGCTTCCAGGCCGCTGGCCATGTTACTCTCACTGTTCTGCCCATTCTCTAGGTAAACTCATGACACGTAGAATTTCGTTTGGGAATAGATTCTTTTCAGCGTACTGCAACGTGAATTATCTCAATTCTTTGTGTGTTGTTCTTTGTGCTTCTTTTCTTATCACCGAAATTTCCAAAGTGATTTGTTTAAATTTCATAGGAAACTGAGACCAAAATTATTTGCCGTATGTAAGACGTGGGTGTATCATTTCTTGTCTTATGGTGCTAAATAGTCCATGCATTAGTGGGGACATCTATGCCTCTGAATGCATTAGATATATGGATATATGGACAGGTGACGGAATTTAATGAACTATAACATGAATCGCCTCCTGTGATAATTTTGTTTTTTCGTTTGATAGATGAAGGTACTGGATCATCCGATGATGACACCAGTAGGGAAGAGAAAGAAGAAAACGAGTCTAAGAGGATCATTGAAGATCGAGAGTTGAAGGATAAACTCCTTCGTAGATATAGCGGATATATTATTGGTCTCAAGCATGAATTTTCCAAAAAGAAGAAGAAAGAGAAGCTACCCAAAGAAGCGAGGCAAATATTGCTTGCATGGTGGAATATTCACTTCAAATGGCCATACCCGACGGTAAGCAACTTGCTCCTGCAAGCTTCACGTTAGCTTCTTAAGAATCATAGTTCGGGGGACAAATTCTGTACTTACCCTGCAATCTAACATGGCTCTTGATGGACCAGGAAGCGGATAAGGTTGCATTAGCTGAATGGACGGGTCTGGATCAAAAGCAGATAAACAATTGGTTTATAAACCAGAGGAAGCGCCACTGGAAGCCAGCGGAGGAAATGCAAGCAGCAGTTTTGGATGGCCTATATGGACCTTTTTCCACGAGTGATTGAGGTCGTATCTTGTATATATGGTCTGTGTTGTAACTGATCGACCTGATGAATTTCCTGTCCATTACTTCTCTTGTAGCTGTGCGTATATTATAGCTCCCGCTGCTAGCTTGCATGGTAATAATTGCTATTGACGTTAGATTGACTTTGAATGGCTTGTATGATTATATTCCTGCATCAGGCACTGCAAATAGCAATTGCTGCTATTAATCAGAATGGATTTCAACCTTCGTATATGCTTCTATTTTGAGTTGGTCATATCTTTTCAGATTCTCTAGATTTCTAGGTTTGAAATTATGATGAAGCCACACGCACCGTGTCGTCACAAGAATTATGTACGCTTAAATATATAGGATTGCAGGGGGCTGCACCGGCACCAGTTGTGGCCTTGTGTGTTAGCAATTGCTGCTATTAATCAGAATGGATTTCAACCTTCGTATATGCTTCTATTTTGAGTTGGTCATATCTTTTCAGATTCTCTAGATTTCTAGGTTTGAAATTATGAAGCCACACGCACCGTGTCGTCACAAGAATTATGTACGCTTAAATATATAGGATTGCAGGGGGCTGCACCGGCACCAGTTGTGGACTTGTGTGTTGGGCCTGATTAGGGTTTGGGATGTCAGCTGCCCCTCTTTTTTTTTTTTGGGTTAAGGTGTGTTCAGCACCCTAAACTATTTTTCTAAGTGTATCCAGTGTTTTAAAATAATTTTCAGTGCATCTGATGTCCCAAACTAATTAAAACGGTGCATCCATATTCCGAGTTAACAGAAAAGTTAAGTTTGACCGTTAGTTGACCGAAAAATCTGACGTGCCGGACACGCATGCGTCTAATGTGTATTATTTTGACGAGTTAAGGTGCGCCTAGCACCCTGAACTATTTTTTCAGATGTGCCCGGTGTCATAAAGTAATTTTTGGTACATCCAATGTCCCAAACTAATTAAAATGGTGCGTCCACATCCCAGGCTAACAAAAAAGTTTCGTTTGACCGTTACCTTGTTGATTCAGCTGAAGTTTGACCGAAAAATCCTACATGGCGAACACGCAGGCGTCTCATGTGTATTATTTTGACTAAAAATTCAATTTATTTCCTCCTCTTCTAACATTTATCTTCTGTCAGTTTTTAAACTTAAAAAAAAGAAAGACCACCGATCCATCCTCTTAAATCCTGGTACATGTACCACTCATTCAATCATATCCTCGTCTTTAACATTTTATCCCATTTCTTCTACCACAACCGCTGTCACAGCACACTTCCATCTTCATCTCTGTTGACTCCTCATTCGACTCGTATTTGCTTTCCTCCTTGTAGAACACAGTAAACTTTTCCTTAGTCACTCCATCGACATCGTCGTCGCCTTCCGAGAAAACACCCGCCTCCACCGGCCTCGTCTCGGGAGCTTTAGTCAAAATAATACACATCAGACCGCTTGCGCTGAATCAGCAAGGTAACGATGAAACGAGACTTTTCTGTTAGCCTAGGATGTGGACGCACCGTTTTAATTAGTTTGGGACACTGGGTGCACCTGGGAAAATAGTTCGGAGTGCTGTGTGCACTTTAATCCTTTTTTTTTTTTAATATTCAAATGTTTCTCTCTGTTTTTTTTTTCAATTACATTCTATGTAAAATGATAAAATTTTGATATTTTATGAACGAAAAATATTTCAATTTTCAATTTTTTATTTTTTTTTAAAATTGTATCTAAATGAGAAAGAAACTGCGTCAATTTTGAATTATTTTTCTTTGAAAAATTATAAAAAGATAAAAAAACTAAATCATATTTTATCTTTAAGATGTCACAATTTCACTTATTTTATATAGGATCTAATAATAAAAAGAAATAAAAAATTATTTAGGAAGTAGGAAAAAAAATTGAGGAGCAGGCCGTTAATGCCCCAAATCTATTTTAACAGGATGACAATTGCAAAACACAGTGCTTCTGACAAAAAGGATGACGACACGGTTAGCAATTTAGGGGTGCTAATAAAGGGCAGGCTTTTAACTTCTAGGAATGAAACCTATAACCCAAATCTAGCAAGCGTTGGTTTGCTATGAGGGAAATGGAAAAGAGGCAAGAAAAAAAAAAATTTAATATGCCCGAATTATAAAATTGAAAAAATAGGATTAAAAGTTTTTAATTGATTTTTGTTACTCTTTTATCTTGCATCTTTTTTTAATTAAAATTTTAAAACTACTCTTCTCCAGTTTTTTGCATTAAGCTAGTTAAAATTTCCTTCTCTTCTCTTTTCCTTCATTTGGCTCATACCAAACATAGGATAAAGACTTCCATTTTTAATGTACCTACTCTTGAAGTTACTCTAGATCTATATATTGAATGACTTGTTTGGAATGGCTTGTAAATAGTTTTTCAATTATAATTTAGGGAATATAAAATAACTATGTGAAATAAATTTTGTCATGACTTACATGAAACATACTTATAAGTAATTTCAAATGCTAATCCAAAAAGGACCAAAAGCAAAAAGTTTGACTATTATGATCGAAACTAAACTAATATTGCCCCCCGTCAGATATCATATTGATTCAACTATAATTATCTAAAAGATACCTTATATATGTTCCATCAAAAATATTTAGTTCAAATCTTTATATCTATTATGTCAAATTCTTCAATTATACATAGTCTTGTGTCTTGACTTTTTTTCATATGGGTTTATAACTAAATGATATTAAATGTTGATATTTTAAAAATAGTACATATGCATGGTCATGTATGATTAGAGAACTTAACATAATGAATACAAAAAAAATTGATATAAGCATTTTTGATATTCTATCAAAATGATCGACAATCATATATACAAATGCCTTTTCTTACACCAAGAAGCTTATCATTTTCAAGAGTAATTGGAGTTACATTTATTATAATGATCGAGTGGTGCCAAGAGATAGAGAACCTGAAAATAATCGTAAATATTCATTGTGATAATTCACTCATTTTGATTCAAGAACTGTGAAATATATACAGTATATTATAAGCAGAAAGTTGCAACAAAGAGAGACTGTACATAGAAGCAGAAGGTTGCGACAAAGAGAGAATACAGTAAGAGGACACGGAGTCAGAGGTATCCACAATTCTAGAAGCAAAAAATGACAAGAGAGGAGCCATAAGAATGAGCAAGTGTTTGGATTAGTAAGCGCAAATTGACTTTTACGACTTTTACAAATATGAGTTGGAATAAAAGTCAACTAGTGCAATGTGCTTTATATTTAGATTGATATTTATAAAAAGTCAATTTAAAAAATTAAAACTTGTTTGAATAGATAACAAAAAATTAAGTTTAGATGTAAATTGACTGAAAATGATGAGTTTTTATATAAGACTCAGTTAACTAATTTTAAAAAGATTAAGTATATACATAAGTATTTTTAAAAGATCATGTAACATATAATATAATTAAGTAATTTATTTAGGTTTTTTAAAATGTTCAAATAATATCATTAAAATATTTATCATTAAATTTTATAATTTTATTTTTTAAAAACTAAATTTAATTAGATAATATTATTATATTTATTAAAATATAAATAATAAATAATATAAGTTAAAAGAATAATCTGTTTGACCTGGTAAGTTAAAAGAATAATAAATAATATAACTATGCTGGTAAATGTCGGCGTAACAAAAATAAATGTGTTGGTCCCTTCTTTCCCACCTACACAGGGACGCGCGGTTAAAAAGCACAAATGCTACTAAAACATTACGGGGTCCCACTCACCACAAATGCTACTAAAACATTACCGGGCTTTTAACTTATGAAGATACTATATCTAAAATCGTTAAGACCATGAATGACTTTAAATTTGTATAGAATTCATTCTTAGCCTGAACAATTTCAGTGGAGCCCACATCACAAAATGAAAGTTGTTTTTTGTCTAAACAACTTCAATGAAGCCCACATCACGAAATAAAAATTGTTCTGGGTCTGAACAACTTCAGTGGGGCCCACAATTCATATTTGTCTTATGCTCCATGTAAAATTGCTTCCTTCCATGCCTTTTCAATTTTTATTTGACTAGACAATACTTTTGTTTTTTCCTGCCACACGCAAAGTTACTGAGGGAGTAGTCTTTCATTGTTTGAAACTCAACTCATGCGTAAGAATTCCTTCCCTACATATTCCCATCAGTATAGGACTTAGAAAGTGGTCATTCATTGTCTTCAGCTTTGTTTTGGTATGTGAGTGCATAGTGTAATTTTGGTCTATATAATGGCATTCGACATTCCCACTCCATTTGCTTCTCATCGCTTCTCAAATTGTTCTTAAACTTGACCGATTCCTTCCATTCTTCTTTCTCCTTCCATACTTTCGTGTAAAGTATGTGGTGTGTGTGGTCTTGCAATCATATATATTTTATCTCAACTTGAAACTTGATTTTTCTTTTGAATAAGGTACATTCTCTTGATTAGTTTTTTTAAAAAAATCTTGGTATGTATTTTGCTAAATAATGGATAACAATTTTATATTTAGTCATTTTTACATGTTGAGTTTGTTTTAATTAAAAAATATAGACATAATTAATTGTCATATAAAATAAATTATAGTTTACTTTTTTATAATCTGATTAAATATATAACTTTTTTTTAGTAGATAATGTTTGAGTAAATATATAGTTAGATTAAATATGTATCTGGTCAAATGGATCGAAAAGGCATGGAAGAAAGCAATTTCACGTGGAGCATAAGACAAATATGGATTGTGGGTCCCACTGAAGTTGTTTATTTTGTGATGTCAGTCCCACTAAAATTATTCAGACCAAGAACAATTTTTATTTCGTGATATAAGTCCCACTAAAGGTATTCAGACCAAGAACAACTTTCATTTTTTGATGTAAGCTTCACTAAAGTTGTTTAGACCAAGAATGAGTTTTGTACAAATTTAAAGTCGTTCACGGTCTGAACAATTTCAGATGTAGTATCTTTGTAAATAGTTTTGATTTTATCGTATCTAAGTAAATTTTTTTACTGTTCATCGTATTTGAATAAAAAAGCCGAAAAAGATGCATTAAAATAAAAGTTCCTTTGAGGCCTACCGTACAATAGGGAAGAGGCAGTCCGAAACAATCTCTTCTCTTCAAATAGTTTCCTAACCCGTGTTTCACGCTTTCCGGAGCACATTTTACAGCCTAAATAGTAATCCAAACATAGCCTAAAAATGCACAAGAGACGCCACCAAAAAAGAATTACAGAATACGGCCAAG